GTTCAAAGCCTGTTCTTTTATTCTGATCATTCTTTTGTATTTATCAATGGACTCTCATGTACATATATACATCAATGCTGACAGTGTTTATTATCATTAGTCATGACTTCTGATCACCACCTCCTGGGAGACACTGTCTCTGCCTGAGAATGGTAGACAACCGAAAAAACAACAGCAAAAAAAGAACATGTAAAAAATATAGAAAAAAAATGAAATGGCTGAAGTGCTTAAGTGATATTCTATAAGCTAAGCTAACCGGTCTGGCTGCTAATTTATCTATAAATTACGTATGACTTTGAATGCTTGACAATTTTCTTAATTATTTCTTTGCTTCATCATAATGTTGTGTTTTTAAAAAGCCAAGAACCAATTGTTTCTGCAGGTGGTAAGAATATGCTTTCATGCCGCAGAAACTAAATTCTGGCCATACGTAGGTCTATAAACAAGGGCATGTACACAGCCTGGGTGGCTTCCAAACATAAATGTATTTCATTGCTCCACATAGGTAATGTATGCTAAAAACATGTTACCTGACAAACAGGCAAATGGTTGTTACGCCCAACCTTCATTTTATTCCATCAAAATGGCAAAGCCACCAGTTTACACGCTGTAAAATGTATACATATAACGAGAAACACATTTTGGTTCAGATAGATTGAGTGTGTGTGTGTGTGTGTGTGTGTGTGTGTGTGTGTGTTAGATACCATGTATGATAGACTGGTGCAGACTCCAGTAGATGCTTAGACAGTTCTTCTCCTTCTTCATTCCTCGTTTACATTGGCAGCCATGTAAAGGACTGGACAGCAGAGCAGACACTGCACTGGCACACTGGCTCCTGGCGCCCGGGCCCAGTTTCATGCTGCCATTGCCTGCCACACACTGGCGCAAAGTACGAAGTCGTGGACTACAAGTCTCATCACTCGAGCACGAGTCTCCGGCCACCAAGCAGTCTCTACTGGCATGTATAACCTCTAACAGAGCTGTTTCAGGAAAAAATGAGAGAAATGCAGAAACATGAGGGGATTGGAAAAAGCAGTTAATGTGTAAGATCATGAGATGAAAAAAAGACCCATGCTAATGCAGACCAATAGTGCATAAGAAGAAAGGGGAAGGAAAGAATTGACACTTTGAATAAATTGTAAAGTGTTCTGAAAAGTACAGAATGTTAAAACAGCCGGAGATTTTATTGTGAAATCCTGCCAATGTAATGGTTGAGGTGAGCAGGACAATGAACGAGTTTACTCTGTCTTTTGTATATTTCATGCTTGTGTGGTAACATATTGACCATTTCATTCTAAAACCAAGTGAAATATAACTATTACTCTGTTTGTTTCCATAGCTTCCATTAATATTTTAACAGAAGTGCCTAAAATGACCACTGCAAAATTACAGTGAACAAATCCCCTGCAACTGTTGATGGAAAACCCCCAGCTGCAAACAAGGTCACTCTTTGCTCTTGCCATTATGAATTTTTATTCCATTGCGGTTTCTTGTTTGTAAAACTTCCCCAAAACCTAGAAAAATGAGCTTTGCTTCTCATGGTTGGGTCTATGAGCCAAATAGGGCAGCGGAACATTTTTGGACAATATGCAGTTGGCCACATGATAAAAGAGAAGACACAATAGTAAAAAACCAGCTGAAGTTTGATGAGAGATTATTTCCAGACAGCAGTCGGTTGATATTGAACTTAAAATCACCTAATGAATCAGCATGTTTCAGACCTGACTAAATATAACAGATGAAGACTTTAAGCTTTGAGTTATAATAATTTAATATAAACCTAGAAATGGACATGATATGTCGACACATCAAAGAGGAGAAAAGGAGTCTTGATAGTTAAAAGCATGAATTAATACGTCTTTGTGCCCAGAAATGGAAAATAGAGTTTTGCATAAAGTATATCAGATCTTTTTGTTGAGGTTCAGTATTTCTTTCACACAGAGTTTCTCTTTACGTCAGAAAAGTACGAACTGAAGAACTGAGCACACCTACTCTGAAAACAAGCCTATTACTTTATAGGTTTGTTCAAATTCAGTGGATAACTGGATGACATGTATTTGGACTATTCAGTACCTTGCAAATGGCCCTGCAGGCTACAGCATTTGCTGCTTTATTGAGAAGAGAACAGCTTCAAGGATGAAGATATGAAAATAATGTCTCTGCATATTAAATGTGCATGTATTTTATTCAGTTACTGTGGGAAACCTCTTGAATGGCAGACCTATACAGATGCTAATTCATGTCCTTAACAATTCATTGCCAGACCTTGTCCCGAGTAGCTTGGACTCCTACAGTTGTACTGCATGACTCAAGCTCATTCTATTCAATATGCTGAGGTTCTTGAACCTCCGATGAGTGTCATTTACAGAACATGTTAAGAACATTATTGAGTAAGAGGAACACACACACATTCATCTGTTGCTTTGGTGAAGAAAGGCTTTTAATTAAGGTTTAGAATAAAGTGAAATAACCTCCAAGCAAAAGGCTTTTTTTCTTTCTTCTACAGCCAACTGGCCTCTGTTTGTGTTTACATTCTGTCCACTTTTGTCAGATTTCTCAGAATATGTTTTTGTCTATTTAAGTCACAAAGCCCTTTAAGTGCTGCCATTTCTAAGGATGCTCCTTGTGTACATTTGTATCTTAGGGAAATTCTGTAAACATATTCCTTAGCATGGCCTGCAGGAAACCAATTGTATCTTTTTATTCAAACAGTGAAAAATCATACCACCTTCGTTTCACATGAAATCTTTTACTCCATCAGCTAAAACCACATTTTTCCATTTCATGCTGTTTTCATCTGCTTACACAGCGGGTATTTCTGGGGTAACATTGTCTCAGCTACTGTTTTGATCTCTAAAACATATATGCATACTCAGGAACATTGTATTAAAAAACAAATAATTTTCCATTCAGTCAGCACTATGCTATCAATTACATCTCCTTCCAAAGCTGGAGCTTTACTCAAACCCCACAGGTGTCCTGCGTCTCACTCACATCAGGAGTTATGCATACGCTCATATTCTATTCATCACATACCAGCTAAGCGCAGACATGTGGATGCTGGGTTGGGGAAAAGTTGCAGCCAATGCCAGTGTCCTGGAAGGCCAGATGGTCAGTTGCAAATTTATCCCAAGCCTTTCTTTACAGCTATGTCTGTCAGTTTGTGCTGCCTGGGCAGAAGCTGGAATAGACACCATACATCATGAATGCAAATTAGCCACTTGATTTGACATTTCCAATAAGCCTGTCTCAATGTACCAGTAGGGTTAGCCAATTAACCATGTCAGTAATCAATGTGTTCCAAGGCTCAGTTAAGTCCTCAGTTTCCCTGCCACATAAATCACAGGCAGATTAGCTGATCAGTTACCCTCGTGCGCCAGCTTAATCGTCCACTTCAAGAGAGATAAAATGGAAAATGAAACTTAATGAAGTCAGCTGGAATGTTACCGTCACTCCTATGTCTCTATAAAGCTGTGAAGCTGTGGGCTAAAATGGCAACACGCTGGTGCATGTAATGAGTGTCTTTTTTCCAGTGCTTTTAGAATTTGTAAATTATCTTGGATAGCTGGATTAAAACTAGCAGCCTCACATTAAAGTGATTATATGACTGCTTAGCCAAGGGTGTTAGCCAACGTGATACAAGCCATTGTAGTGTAACTGCTCATTTAACACAATTGTGGCTCTATTTTTGCTCTATTTTGCAGCGCTAAGCCTGTACTGACACAAAGGGAGTTTGGTTCACGTGGGGCTTTTTTTCTTCATATGCAGCTCTTGAGTCATTTTCTGCCACCAAACAATTGTGGTTAAGCCAAGGCACTTGCAGAGCTCCCGCAATACACGGGCAAATATTGTAATTTGTAATTAATAATTTATTTTACCTTTTTTTTTTTTCCATCTACTGCAGAGCGGCGTGTGCACTGAAATACAGTTTATTTCTGCAACTGATGAAGATTCTTGCCTATAATCCAATCCACTAAAGTGTGATCCAGTTACAAAGAAATGTCAATACTGACGTTGTGTTTGATAAGTGAGCAGTCTGTCTATGCAGTTAATTAAATTAAGTCAGTTAAATTAAACACCTGTAGTCATTACAGACCAGCAGAGATTATATGATTTGTGAGAGGGGCTCTACTAATTCACATGGGTGGCAACGCAGCAATTTCATTGAATCACAAGGCTCTGTGTTACCATTGTTCAGGATTTAAAGATAAATAATAATAAATAATCTGGTGTACCTGTAGCACCACAAAATGATCCATCCTATAAATTAAGATTCTAATTATACTAGAATTTAATCTTGATATGATAACTAAGAAAAAACCAATAACCATTTCCATTTTCAATACCATGGAAGGAAAAATGACAATAAATTAATAAGATAATCTATAATGTATTGTAGTTTATGTACTTATAAGTATATGTACAGTGTACAATGACAGTGCTATTTTAAGCTCTTTCACATAGTGTCAAAATAAAGTCAACATGATTATCATATATTTGTAACATATTAAATTTCAAGATATTTTTAAATAGCAAAAAGCAGAAATGTTTCAAGGTTTTGTCTTTAATACGTTGCTTAGAGATGGTGGTGACTCTCAAAGCAGAGCCAGTGAGAACCGAATGAGAATTGATAAGGAATTGAATCAATGAGTAACAATGATAACAGAACCAGAATCTCTAAATTCTTATCAATTCCCATCCCTAGTAACCTATGACATAATTTAAAGCTTATCATACCTCACTAGTGCCTCCCTGGTAATATAGATATATTTTATGTTGCCACAGCGCAAAACTATTGAGACTGCTCAGTTTAGTATTGACAAATCTTCCAAAGCATGTCTGGCTACTTTTTAACCAAAGTTTTTCAATCATTCGGATCCATCAAGTCCATAAAAGGAAGAATAACCTAATGGCCTAAATATAAGAAATCAGAGATATCAGAGAATATGTGAAACTATTGGAATGGGTATCAGGTAATGTGCAAACAGTGGGGGCACAGAAAGGGAAAAAAGTCCTAGGATCTCAATTATCACCACATATAAAACCCAACAGCAAAGTAATTAACATATAATGCAGCACACAAGCATGAATGTTGGCAACGGCATCGACCACTTACGTAGGTTACATAGTAAACTCTACAAAGATTCAACACAGAGGTCTAAATCTGGGTAATTGATAATAGTTAAACAGTGTCTGGGATTGCATCAAGGAGGCCATCTGGCATAAAAACACAAAAAGAAGAAAGAAAAAAAGAAATCCACCTCCAAACATGATGTGGAGCTTCCTGCTGTGATAGCATCGTGTGAATAAGGAAGGAACTGAAAGTAGCTTCTAGCACATAAGACCAAAAAAAACCCAAAAACAAGAAGTAACACACAAAAAGACCCTGATTAAGACACATGACACTGGGACCGGAGAGATAAAAGAACAAAACACAGAGAAGAACATGGGGAAGGAAACAATACAGGGGCCAGGGCTACAATCATTTTATCTAGACGATGAGTACAGACAACCACTGAGACAATTCAGAGAGAAACCAGAAAGACACTATTACAAATGCCTTTAACACTTTAATTCACACATCAGAAGTCCTTAACATATAAAGTGTTCCACATGACATAATTTAATAACATTCAAATGAAATTTGCTCTTACTCCTTCTTGATCTACAAATGGTCACAATGAACTTCTTAAGTTTGGCATTTTACCTCTGAGAGAAAAGTGAACCTCAACTTCCTGTGAATGTGATCTAAGTCTTAATGTTCTGTGAAATTTGGCCGCCTTTTCAGTGATGACATCTACGAGGTTATGATTTAAATGACTTGTTAGTGAGCGTAAATTGTTCTTCCAGTGTATCAATCTTCTTAGCAGAGATGTAGCCTGTGTCTTTCTATTATAACTTATTGCCGTCTGATGCTCTGCATAAGGCAACATTATTTCCACTCATTGCACAAAATTAGTAACTTCAGACATCAAAGCAG